TACATAATTATATAATTACATAATTACATAATTACATAATTACATAATTACATAATTACATAATTACATAATTACATAATTACATAATTACATAATTACATAATTACATAATTACATAATTACATAATTACATAATTACATAATTACATAATTACATAATTACATAATTACATAATTACATAATTACATAATGACATAATTACATAATTACATAATTACATAATTACATAATTACATAATTACATAATTACATAATTACATAATTACATAATTACATAATTACATAATTACATACACTACGGAACTGCAGAACGTCCCGATATTGTAGTCTGGTCTGATAAAGGAAAGGTGGTCATATTAGTAGAGTTGACAGTTGGTGACGAGAGTAACTTTAGTCACCATGTAGAACGTAAACAAGCACGTTACAACAGAGAGCTTATTCCTGGGCTGCATGGCAGTGGGTGGAAAGCTTAGCTTTTTACGGTAGAGGTTGGGTGTAGAGGCTTCTGGCATCATACCTTACCAGCCCTACTAAACTACTTTGGTGTTACAAAGAGAGTAAAGAAAGCAGTGTTCCAAGAGGCGGCTTTGGTTGCTCTCAGATGTTCCTATGCAATCTGGTTAGCAAGAGAAAACAAGAAGTGGAGTCCCTGCTACAACATCGCACAAAGACCCACTGTTCTACCATCAACTGAGTGAGCTGAGTGTTGGGCCCTTAAAACATTGTTTAAAGCCACACCTGGAATCTCAAGTACCAGGATCAGTGATGGAAGCTAAGCAGATACATAGATGGAGTTGCTATCGAAAGATATAGAACTCAGGTATCCAACATCGTACCTTGATTATATTGTAGTATTTTCTCACATAATTACATAATTACATAATTACATAATTACATAATTACATAATTACATAATTACAGCACAAGACTTGATTTTACAGATTCCGAATCTACTCGTTTTCATTATCAGCACACTCTAAAATAAATGCGGGATAATGAAAATGAAAATGTATCCTAGAATGTAATAATGATTATAAAATTACCGTGGTTCTAGTTCATGGCTGATAATTACTAAAGATAGTTTCGAACATAGATCAACAACAACAACAACAACAACAACAACAACTGCAGAAAAACGCCTGCTTCGAATTTATTCAAAGATGGTCCGATGATTTGTTCAAACATTTTTCCTGACTGTAAACATCCGAATCATTTTAACTGTAAACAGTGCTATCTCACTTTGCCAAGAAATCTTTGTCTAAAAAAATTATAGGCATCTCATGTTAATTCGTAAGCATTCAAATCGTTTTAATGGAGATTTTTTGAGATCCGAGATTTTCAAAAACGAATAAAAAATGTTCGTTCAGTCTATAATCTCCTTTAAATGGTCCTTAGAATATATTCTGAAAGTTATATGCTTCAGCCTGAATTTTTGTGAAACTTGTCTCCGAGTTAGCTTTATTCTGGTCCCGTTCAAAAATCGGCCGGGACCGGGAATCCCAGCCAAAATGCCGAATTGTGACCGGGACCGAACCGGGATTTTTTTTAAAGAAGTTTAACGCAAAATTCTTTGCCAATGAATCAACAAAACTGTATCACAGTTAAATACCGGTTTGATAATTACTAATAATACGAGCTAAATTGTGGACGTTCAGTAGCTGGCCAGTAATATTCAATTATTCATGGTCATGTTATTTAAACTTGTAGAAGTAACGCTTTTGATTCACGTATTTTATGTTTCAGTCAATGTTAATATGAAATATGATGTTATGATGATAACACATTATTCACTTTTTTTATATCTAACAGCTTACGATCAATAATGCTATTTGCTACCTGAATAAGACTAAAGACTCAACCGAAATTTTGGGCAGAACATAATACAAACATTGGACAAACATTGGACAAACATTTTTCAATGTTTTTATGGCTGGGTCGCCGAGTGGTATCGTTTTTCAATAACCCGGAGATTGGTGGTTCGAATCTGGGCGTCCCCTAGTCTAGTGAGTTAAGGATTCCGTTGGATTTATGCAATATCACATGCATTTGTGATTTGTATAACTGAGCCGAATGATCGGAAATGTAAAGGTGGGTTAAATGAATAGCAGCACAATGCAGTGAAGGCAGTATGAAAAATATATACTAACATTTATAACAATTTTAGCCTGAAGATGGCGTTGACGCCGAAAATTTGCCCTTACTCCTAACTTCCTTGTTTCACTTGTCCTTGTCTCTTCCAACCGGATAATATCCAGATATCAGCAGTATGAACTATGGAATTCACTTCCTTAACCGTCGTTGCTTTAATTTTAACTGTACCTTTGATTTCTGTGATCGGCTGAAACAAGTTCAGAGCAACGATATTCATGTACTCAGTTTTGAAATATTCATATATATATATATATAGTATATAGTTTTGAAAGGCCTGCAACATTTTTCCTAAAGTTAACCGAATCAACTGGCTGAAGCAAAGGATCTGCAGAGGTGATAAATGACCATAAATGAAATAAAATTCGATAATATTGCACATCTAGGAAGTCATTGTGTTCACACTTCTGATGATTTGCAAGAATTCTCCGTGTGGGAGGCGCAATGGGGACTGTGGAAGAGGCGTCTGTAGTACCACCCTGGTAAGGAGAGGGTTGTGGAAGAGGCGTCACCTTGTTATCAGTCAGAAAATATCAGTTCGTAGTCCTCTGTGAATTTGCAATCCTCCGCGGTATCTATTACAAATCCATTTCATTCATATTAAACTATAATAGGGGTCGTATAGAAATTCAACAAGTTCATTCAATGATGTTCTATTTGATGCTTATATTGTTGAAGTTGTGGGTATAATACGCCAAGATTCGGCTACATTTTTTCATTTTATTTTCGTTTTAACCATCTATAATCGAAATCAAGCGTCTTAAATGCATAATTCTGGAAATAAAATCGAACAATATTCTCAATTTGTTTAATTCTGAGGAACCTCAACTAAAAGATTATGCATGATTTGCTGCGTGTGAAACCAAGGAGGAGCTCAAATCACATGGCTATAGGAACTGGAATTATCATTGTTTACTCCTGGGTGCTGGGTGATCCTGCACGGTTCTTCAAGTTGCAACTCGGATATAAAGTCGGAAATTCAAACGTCCTGATGTTTCTCATTTCTCTCTGTCTCTTCCGTTCTCTCCTTTTTTCGTAATATGTATGATATTTGGGATATTGTGGTAATTCGATTCTAGTCTTACATTTTATTAACCATCTTTATAATATTGAAGTATTAAATGTTCGTTGAGACTAATTAAAATGTCCTCGTTACCTCTGGGCTGGAGCACAAAACTGAAAACCACTTGAGACGAAGCAGCTTCTTTCATGATCACTGCAAAACATAACGATTTATTTCTAGCCGGAGATAAAGTCACAGATTTTTGGATTTTTGATCAAAAACAGCACAAATGTATTGTGTATATTTTTCAAAAGATAAAACCTGCAAATACCAAACTGTGGAGTACTGCACAGGGTCACGGATCTGACTCTGACTCTGACTCTGACTCTGACTCTGACTCTGACTCTGACTCTGACTCTGACTCTGACTCTGACTCTGACTCTGACTCTGACTCTAACTCTGACTCTAACTCTGACTCTGACTCTGACTCTGACTCTGACTCTGACTCTGACTCTGACTCTGACTCTGACTCTGAATCTGACTCTGACTCTGACTCTGACTCTGACTCTGACTCTGACTCTGACTCTGACTCTGACTCTGACTCTGACTCTGACTCTGACTCTGACTCTGACTCTGACTCTGACTCTGACTCTGACTCTGACTCTGACTCTGACTCTGACTCTGACTCTGACTCTGACTCTGACTCTGACTCTGACTCTGACTCTGACTCTGACTCTGACTCTGACTCTGACTCTGACATTTCCTGGTTTAATCTCCTAACAGTGATCGAGCCTAACGAAGTATCTGATTACAAAATTTGCAAGGCTGCAAAATTAAATCTTCCGGGCATATATATTTCAAGGCTGAAGCACTAAAATCGGTTATATTTTTGTCCCCAAATCACATCATGATTAATCTGACAGAGTTCCATGGAATACATTCCTACCGTTTGCACTTTTTTTTCCTGTTGGAAATTGCGGGATAATTCGTTTATGTCGTCCAATATCTAGTCATTCGCTGATTATTTTACATTTTATATTTACATTTTATTTTTACATTTCACATTTACATTTTACACTTAAATTTTATATTTAAATTTTATCGTACTTAATAAGCTACCTTTTACATTTATGAATTTCTTAAATATAATTATACTGTTGAAACTTACGTACTCCGTATTGAATAACATTAAATGTCTACTAATGATGGCTTACTAATGTTCAACTGGTAAATGTTTTGGACATGTCTCTCCATATAAACACGGTAACACGATTATTAACCTCCCATATAATCTCCATAAACACGATAATCCGATCAACGTAATTAATAGGGGATCATTCCCTAAAATATTTATAAAATATTCATAAAATATTTAATGGGGCGCTACACACTGCACTGTGATGTTTTGCTTCAGCATTCTTCCTACTTTGACGTTTTACTCGATCAGCACAATTATCGTCATTGTCAAACATTTTTTACAGCAAACAATATTTTATCATTATACATTCTTTCATCTTTAAAGAGGAAATCTCGAAATTGATTCTCCGACTGGTCTGTTTTTTTTATTATTTTTTTTAAAATTTTTAAATATGCAACCTACTGGTATGGTCTGATTTTTTAATGTGTGGTAGTAAACTATATTCGTTTTGGTTTTATAAATGTTAACCGATTCACCTATGAGAGTGTAAGTGGTAACCGTGGGGCACCTTTTTACACAAATATCCAGCTAAAGCTTGGGACTGCAAGAGATAATTATTTTCAATTAACAACGCATATTTATATGTTTATAAACGATAGTTTAACTGGTCCACATTTTACATATTGTAACTAAGCGACCCTTGTAGAACAATATGAAGGTAGTAGTGGTGATATCACTGCTCTCGCTACTGGTCATTGGGGCGCTCTCTCAAGCAGATCTTGATTTTGTAGATGAATTAGCAGATTCTGCAGATTCTGCAGCTCCTGAAGCTGAAGCAGATTCTGCAGCTCCTGCAGATTCGGCAGCTCCTCAATCAGAATCTGAAACTCCTCCTGAAGCTCCTGAAGCTCCTGGTTTGTTATTACTTTATATGTATTTTTACGTCTTTAAAATTCTTATTTATTTTTACATTTATCATCATGGCTAAATGTTTTAATGTAAAAGTGAACTCAGAAGCTCAAAAGTTTTGGTATGAAGGTATAAAATTGTGGATAAAATGTTAAAAATATACAAACACTGGATTGTTTTTATTTTTGTTAGGTTCCATTCTGGGTTGCTCGTAAAGTTGTAAACACTGTTCTGCTTCCCACCTTGTTTTTGAAAAGAATTTCTCCTAGGGTACCTCGTCGTCATTGTTGAGCTCCAAAATCTGCAACATGAAAAAGTAACAAATCTAGCCAAGGTTAAGTCTGATATTGTTTCTTATTGTTATTAACTTAATTCTGGCGATTCTTCAGAGGAGGAGGTACTCAGCTGTCAGTTTGACGAGAACGATGAACGATTTGCTGGTGTCGGTAAGTCAGTGTGTATGTTTGTTTGTGTTGTTAACTTTATTGGTGTCGGTAAGTCAGTGCGTCTGTTTGTTTGTGTTGTTAACTTTATTGGTGTCGGTAAGTCAGTGCGTATGTTTGTTTGTATTGTTAACTTTATTGGTGTCGGTAAGTCAGTGCGTCTGTTTGTTTGTGTTGTTAACTTTATTGGTGTCGGTAAGTCAGTGTGTATGTTTGTTTGTGTTGTTAACTTTATTGGTGTCGGTAAGTTAGTGTGTATGTTTGTTTGTGTTGTTAACTTTATTGGTGTCGGTAAGTTAGTGTGTATGTTTGTTTGTGTTGTTAACTTTATTGGTGTCGATAAGTCAGTGTGTATGTTTGTTTGTGTTGTTAACTTTATTGGTGTCGGTAAGTTAGTGTGTCTGTTTGTTTGTGTTGTTAACTTTATTGGTGTCGGTAAGTTAGTGTGTCTGTTTGTTTGTGTTGTTGACTTTATTGGTGTCGGTAAGTTAGTGTGTCTGTTTGTTTGTGTTGTTGATTTTATTGGTGTCGGTAAGTCAGTGTGTCTGTTTGTTTGTGTTGTTAACTTTATTGGTGTCGGTAAGTTAGTGTGTCTGTTTGTTTGTGTTGTTAACTTTATTGGTGTCGGTAAGTCAGTATGTCTGTTTGTTTCTGTTGTTAACTTTATTGGTGTCGGTAAGTTAGTTTGTCTGTTTGTTTGTGTTGTTAACTTTATTGGTGTCGGTAAGTTAGTGTGTCTGTTTGTTTGTGTTGTTAACTTTATTGGTGTCGGTAAGTTAGTGTGTATGTTTGTTTGTGTTGTTAACTTTATTGGTGTCGGTAAGTTAGTGTGTCTGTTTGTTTGTGTTGTTAACTTTATTGGTGTCGGTAAGTTAGTGTGTCTGTTTGTTTGTGTTGTTAACTTTATTGGTGTCGGTAAGTTAGTGTGTCTGTTTGTTTGTGTTGTTAACTTTATTGGTGTCGGTAAGTTAGTGTGTCTGTTTGTTTGTGTTGTTAACTTTATTGGTGTCGGTAAGTCAGTGTGTCTGTTTGTTTGTGTTGTTAACTTTATTGGTGTCGGTAAGTCAGTGCGTCTGTTTGTTTGTGTGTTGTTAACTTTATTGGTGTCGGTAAGTCAGTGTGTATGTTTGTTTGTGTTGTTAACTTTATTGTGTCAGTGTGTCTGTTTGTTTGTGTTGTTAACTTTATTGGTGTCGGTAAGTTAGTGTGTATGTTTGTTCATGTTGTTAACTTTATTGGTGTCGGTAAGTCAGTGCGTCTGTTTGTTTGTGTTGTTAACTTTATTGGTGTCGGTAAGTCAGTGTGTATGTTTGTTTGTGTTGTTAACTTTATTGGTGTCGGTAAGTTAGTGTGTATGTTTGTTTGTGTTGTTAACTTTATTGGTGTCGGTAAGTTAGTGTGTATGTTTGTTTGTGTTGTTAACTTTATTGGTGTTGATAAGTCAGTGTGTATGTTTGTTTGTGTTGTTAACTTTATTGGTGTCGGTAAGTTAGTGTGTCTGTTTGTTTGTGTTGTTAACTTTATTGGTGTCGGTAAGTTAGTGTGTCTGTTTGTTTGTGTTGTTGATTTTATTGGTGTCGGTAAGTCAGTGTGTCTGTTTGTTTGTGTTGTTAACTTTATTGGTGTCGGTAAGTTAGTGTGTCTGTTTGTTTGTGTTGTTAACTTTATTGGTGTCGGTAAGTCAGTATGTCTGTTTGTTTGTGTTGTTAACTTTATTGGTGTCGGTAAGTTAGTTTGTCTGTTTGTTTGTGTTGTTAACTTTATTGGTGTCGGTAAGTTAGTGTGTCTGTTTGTTTGTGTTGTTAACTTTATTGGTGTCGGTAAGTTAGTGTGTATGTTTGTTTGTGTTGTTAACTTTATTGGTGTCGGTAAGTTAGTGTGTCTGTTTGTTTGTGTTGTTAACTTTATTGGTGTCGGTAAGTTAGTGTGTCTGTTTGTTTGTGTTGTTAACTTTATTGGTGTCGGTAAGTTAGTGTGTCTGTTTGTTTGTGTTGTTAACTTTATTGGTGTCGGTAAGTTAGTGTGTCTGTTTGTTTGTGTTGTTAACTTTATTGGTGTCGGTAAGTCAGTGTGTCTGTTTGTTTGTGTTGTTAACTTTATTGGTGTCGGTAAGTCAGTGCGTCTGTTTGTTTGTGTGTTGTTAACTTTATTGGTGTCGGTAAGTCAGTGTGTATGTTTGTTTGTGTTGTTAACTTTATTGTGTCAGTGTGTCTGTTTGTTTGTGTTGTTAACTTTATTGGTGTCGGTAAGTTAGTGTGTATGTTTGTTCATGTTGTTAACTTTATTGGTGTCGGTAAGTCAGTGCGTCTGTTTGTTTGTGTTGTTAACTTTATTGGTGTCGGTAAGTCAGTGTGTATGTTTGTTTGTGTTGTTAACTTTATTGGTGTCGGTAAGTCAGTCCGTGTGTCAACTCGTATAATCCATCAATTTGTTTCTTTGTTGTCAAACTGAGGACGAAATGACAAAGGCATGTATACCCGTAACGTTGACAATATATCGACGTATCTTGTTTCAAAATGAATAGACTTTCATTTTCCCCAGTAGTCAAACGATATCTCAATGCGTTGGTAAACCTATTTTAAACCTATTTTAAACCTATTTTAAACCTATTTTAAAGTTTAAACTAATTTCAGACCCGACTGAACAGAACACGATTGATAAACTTATCCAGAAGATTCAGGGTACTGCAATGGGAGGGTTCATTCGCAAAGTAATCGCAAGGAATATTAAAAAACGTAAGCAAAGCTGCAACGTTTAATGCTGCTTCCCACACCCTTCAGCAATGAAAATTTACCCATTTTTCATCCAAAAATTTGATAAACGCAAAACTCGCAGCTGACTTCATGTAACTATATTAACTAACCATAGTAACTATAGTAACCAATCTTAAACTCGCAGCTGAGTCCATGTAACTATATTAACTAACCATAGTAACTATAGTAACCAATCTTAAACTCGCAGCTGACTCCATGTAACTATATTAACTAACCATAGTAACTATAATAACCAATCTTAAACTCGCAGCTGACTCCATGTAACTATATTAACTAACCATAGTAACTATACTAACCAATCTTAAACTCGCAGCTGACTCCATGTAACTATATTAACTAACCATAGTAACTATAATAACCAATCTTAAACTCGCAGCTGACTCCATGTTCCGGAGAATGTTAGGACGACTCATTCAAGATCCTGCAGACGAGAACTTTGATGAGGGAGATGTTGATATCACAGAACCTGTGTCTGGACCCTTGACCTCCCTGATAACTAAAGTATTTGGGGAGACTAAAACTGTCGTGGTAAGCTTTATTAAAAGATTACAGGAAGACAGGATAACTAAAATCACCAAGGAATCGTAAAGTCTTTTTTATTGTCAAATGAAGATTGAAGATGATAATAAATGTATAATAATAATATATATATAATATATATATACATATATATAATATAATTAATTTTAATTAACATATTTTAAAAACAGAAATCCTTTCTCAGGGTTACCTCAGAACGTTCGGTTTCTTTGCCAAGGTTTTAGGAATGTCACCCAACAAACTTGAGAACTACCAAGGAGGGGTAAGAAAATCATTAAATAATTAATATATTCAATCATTAGATAATAAGTATGTACTTCTTTGTTATAACTTTATAATGTGGATTCAATGTTATCGATTTTATTATTACTTTAGTACTTCGACACTTACAAATATATTAAAATGTATCGGACTGCACGTGTGACTGCACGTGTGACTGCACGTGTGACTGTACGTGTGACTGCACGTGTGACTGCACGTGTTACTGCACGTGTGACTGCACGTGTGACTGCACGTGTTCCCCACGTAACCAAACAACCTTCCCCTAGATACCCCCATGTGCGATCACACAAGCTATCAAGGAATTCCAAGTGTTCAACAAATTGGAACCCTCAGGACGGCTCACCAAGGAAACCAGGGAACTGATGACTAAAGAGAGGTGTGGCAATCCTGATGTTGGATGTGGTAAGTTTTTACCTTCTATCGATACTATATTTTAAACTTGGCAAAATCTCCCCGGCAACGGCTAAAAGCTCTGAAAATTGGCCAAAAATTGACTCTCCGTTAAAATCAATTCTCTTAAATGGAGTTGAAAACTTGGCAGAAAAAGGATATGCAAAATCATTATAGTTATAATACGTCTAAAACACAGTGATAGTCGATAAAAGCTAGCACGTTTGAACAATAACATTCCAGCCGGATCACCATGATAATTGGTGTCCGCATCGAGAGACAAGCCTAAAATTATCAAAAACAAACGATTAACATTATCAAAGTGAATATGCATTAGGGTAGAATGAAATAGTAAATCCAAAGCCGGAAAATACCATTAATTGTAAAATTGTGGTGCTACGTGTACTGAGTTTGAATGGTACCCTGGGAACCATAACGAAAAACCCAGTACTAGAGCTACCTTCAGGAATATAATGGACACGTTGCATAATAACATTAACAGCAGGGCGAATATATTTTAAAATACTGCAGCAGAAATCAGATCAGTGAGGAAGCTAACTTCGTTATCGAATGAGAAGGGAGTGTGAACCTTTTTACTAGCCAATAGGATCGCAGCATTCTGCAAGGCTGAATATCCTGCAAATCCTGCTTATTAGATTACGCTAGGAATTTAAAGCTACTCAGGTTACCACAGGGACGCAAAGGTCACCAGTTATGTGTGTTTATTCCATAAAAATTATAATATAAAACACTGAGTGTATGTGCGCAATATGTCCTGAGAAGGTTACTAGTTTATTATATTTTTCATTTTATGTGGTGAGTTTAAATTAAACTTAAGACTACTATCTTATAGTCTCTTTAATCTGATATCGATAAAAAGGTTATGAAGAGGTAATCAACCGGTAACCGTATTGATTTTTCCACAGAAACTCCTGACTGTATCGCTGAACAGGAAAACGAAGAAAATTCAGAATATCTTGATAGAAGAAGGAGATCACTGAGCAGACAGAAAAGATGGGAAGTTGTTTCCGGCCGGACATGGAAAAGCGGGGATTTCAAGTACGTATTCATGATTCGGATGTTCTTTCGCAGGCTGCACTATCATAAAAGTTGTTTTTGTTGTTTTGGGTGGCCAAATATTCCGTTACCGTTACCTTTACTATAACTATTTTTCTCTTTTACATAATCTTTCAGGTATTTCTTCGAATCTTACACAGAGGACCTCTCCCTAGAAATTCAGAGAAGAGAAATTGAAAGGGGGCTCAGGGAATGGACGGAAGTAGCTCAAATAAACTTCATAGAGGTTTTTTGTGGATTTTTTGTTTGTTTACGCTAAATAAACCCAATCTTTACCGTTTATACGTGCATAGGAATAAACCGACAGAGATCAGCCATTTGAAAAATAGAGCGCAATCTTTTTAAGATTTTTCTCTCCCCAGGTTGACAATGAAGATGATGCAGATGTGTCAATAGGTTTTGGTTCTGGAAATCACGGAGATAAGTACGCTTTTTCAGGACCTGGTGGTGTGCTAGCACACGGTTACTATCCCAGAAAAGGAGAAGTGAGTGGTTCAATTATTTGACTATTTCATTTTAAATTTGATTTCATTAAATTTGATTACTGTGAGAAAATGCATTCTTTACCTAAATTTTGTTCGACGGTCTAGCTTCTGTGTGCTTGCTTGTTTCGCATTGTTAACCAATGCAATAACAACCCAACAGTAATCACAATAACCACAATAACCACATTAACCACAATAACCAATCCAATAACAATTCATATGCAGTAACCATAGTAACCACAGTAACCACAGTAACCACAGTAACCAATGCAATAAAACCCATATACATTAACCACAGTAACCACAGTAACCACCGTAACCACAGTAACCAATGCAATAACAACCCATATACATTAACCACAGTAACCACAGTAACCACAGTAACCAATGCAATAACAACCCATATACATTAACCACAGTAACCACAGTAACCACAGTAACCACAGTAACAACAGTAACCACAGTAACCAATGCAATAACAACCCAGATACAGTTACCACAGTAACCAATGCAATAACAACCCAGATACAGTTACCACAGTAACCAATACAATAACAACCCAGATGCATTTTGATGATGATGAGAAGTTCACTGCTGACCAGTATTCCGGAACCAATCTCTACTACGTAGCTACACATGAGTTTGGTCACGTGTTAGGTATCAGACACACTGACGTGAAGAAAGCTGTGATGGGACCTTACTATCCTGGTATATATAATGTAATATACTGCGAGCTGAAAATGAAAGTGAAACTTTCAAGTCCAGACGCCATCATTTCATTTTCATTACAATAACCCTGTTTAGTCGTTGACTTCTGATAATAGCAGTTCTTTACTGTTCAGTTTATCAAAATATGTGAAACTTCTAAGTTTATATATGGTCCAAGTTATGGCCAACAAAAACAACAACAATTGATTTGAAAAACTCTGAATTGGCTTTAAATTGCTGTGAAAATGACAAATGTGTGATTTGATATGTGTCATGAATCTAGTTTTAAAACCTATTTGATTTCAGGGTACAAGACAGAGATTGATTTAACTGATGATGACATTACAGCAGCCAGAGCTCTTTTCGGTAAGTCATGCTGCAGTAAAATAAACGTTTATTTGTACGATTGACGATTATTTAACGCTTCGTGTTTTATTAGATTAGTGGACAGTTAATTTTCTAGAGTGGTAAAATTAAGTACGAAAATTTAGAAGCTGATCAGTAGATTACGTGCAAACGTTATTCATTTTGCACCGAATATCTGGCATATGATAATTGCAATAACTTTTAATTTGAACATAGTTGAAATATTGAAATTTTATAACGCTTAACATATGTTATAACGTTAATAATGTGGGATTATATTAGGGGAAGGAAACGGTGCGGTAAGGCCACTCGGTGGATCCAGTGGTGATGATTCTGAGGGAGAGGACAGTGACTCTGAAGAAGGAGCCACTGAAGGAATTGGACCTGACAACATTGAAATTGGAGACTTTCCAGAATCTGGTAAAAGTTTTATTGATATCAATTTGTTATCAGTACATTCATATAAGTGATATTCAAGCGTTATACAGAATCACGCCAAAACTTTAAACTATCGTGATAATCTACTGAATTGTTTTATTAGGCAAGCATCCCCTAGAGTGCAGATTACTAACATCACTACATTTCAGAAGATGGAAGAGGTTGCCTATCTGAGATCCACGCAGCCTTCAACCACCCCACGGAAAAGTATGCCTACGTCATCTCAGGTGGTACATACGTCAGACTTGAGGCTGATGAAAGGTGGGTCACAGTTTTAGTGAGTTTTAGCAGGGTTTATTACGTCAGACTTGAAGCTGATGAAAGGTGGGTCACAGTTTTAGCAGGGTTTATTACGTCAGACTTGAGGCTGATGAAAGGTGGGTCACAGTTTTAGCAGGGTTTATTACGTCAGACTGGAGGCTGATGAAAGGTGGGTCACAGTTTTAGCAGGGTTTATTACGTCAGACTTGAGGCTGATGAAAGGTGGGTCACAGTTTTAGCAGGGTTTATTACGTCAGACTGGAGGCTGATGAAAGGTGGGTCACAGTTTTAGCAGGGTTTATTACGTCAGACTGGAGGCTGATGAAAGGTGGGTCACAGTTTTAGCAGGGTTTATTACGTCAGACTGGAGGCTGATGAAAGGTGGGTCACAGTTTTAGCAGGGTTTATTACGTCAGACTGGAGGCTGATGAAAGGTGGGTCACAGTTTTAGCAGGGTTTATTACGTCAGACTGGAGGCTGATGAAAGGTGGGTCACAGTTTTAGCAGGGTTTATTACGTCAGACTGGAGGCTGATGAAAGGTGGGTCACAGTTTTAGCAGGGTTTATTACGTCAGACTGGAGGCTGATGAAAGGTGGGTCACAGTTTTAGCAGGGTTTATTACGTCAGACTGGAGGCTGATGAAAGGTGGGTCACAGTTTTAGCAGGGTTTATTACGTCAGACTGGAGGCTGATGAAAGGTGGGTCACAGTTTTAGCAGGGTTTATTACGTCAGACTGGAGGCTGATGAAAGGTGGGTCACAGTTTTAGCAGGGTTTATTACGTCAGACTGGAGGCTGATGAAAGGTGGGTCACAGTTTTAGCAGGGTTTATTACGTCAGACTGGAGGCTGATGAAAGGTGGGTCACAGTTTTAGCAGGGTTTATTACGTCAGACTGGAGGCTGATGAAAGGTGGGTCACAGTTTTAGCAGGGTTTATTACGTCAGACTGGAGGCTGATGAAAGGTGGGTCACAGTTTTAGCAGGGTTTATTACGTCAGACTGGAGGCTGATGAAAGGTGGGTCACAGTTTTAGCAGGGTTTATTACGTCAGACTGGAGGCTGATGAAAGGTGGGTCACAGTTTTAGCAGGGTTTATTACGCCAGACTGGAGGCTGATGAAAGGTGGGTCACAGTTTTAGCAGGGTTTATTACGCCAGACTTGAAGCTGATGAAAGGTGGGTCACAGTTTTAGCAGGGTTTATTACGTCAGACTTGAGGCTGATGAAAGGTGGGTCACAGTTTTAGCAGGGTTTATTACGTCAGACTGGAGGCTGATGAAAGGTGGGTCACAGTTTTAGCAGGGTTTATTGTTTAATGATAAGGGGTGGCAGAGAGGTCAAAAATAGACAAAACGTTGCTGACTTAAAAAGTAATGTGAACCTGAACACAGTAACCACAGAAACCATGCAGTAACCATAGAAACCATGCAGTAACCACACTAACCACACTAACCACACTAACCACCCTAACCACCCTAACCACACTAAACACACTAAACACACTAACCACACTAACCACACTAACCCTACTAACCACACTAACCACACTAACCACACTAACCACCCTAACCACACTAAACACACTAACCACACTAAACACACTAACCACACTAACCACCCTAACCACCCTAACCACACTAAACACACTAAACACACTAACCACACTAACCACACTAACCCTACTAACCACACTAACCCTACTAACCACACTAACCACACTAACCACACTAACCACACTAACCCTACTAACCACACTAACCACACTAACCACACTAACCACACTAACCCACTAACTACACTAACCAAACTAACCAGGAACATGCCGGTTGTATCAGAAGGGTACCCCCAGAATGTAGCTGAACAATGGCCGGGAGTGGAGGGTGAAGTAGACGCAGCCTTCACAGACTACGACAATGGCAGGACCTTCTTCTTTGTTAACAGCTACCCGTGAGTTTGAATACACTTTTCAAAAGGGTCGTTTTCAAGTTGGAGGGATTTAATTATTTTAAGCTGACGTATTTGAAAAAGCAAACTTGTTATAGTTTCTAACTAATCAGTTAAGATATTTTAATACTAAGAATTAATGTTAATTTATGCTAAATAATGCTAATCAATGCTAATAAATGCAAGTAATAACATTTTAAAACAACATATTACCTCAGAAGAAGGAAAGTGTACTGCTGGAACTGGAACGAGTCTAGGATGGAGATGGACGGAGAAGATGAGGAAAACACTGTCTTTGCTCCTCTTCCTCAGACGGAAATCAAGGGGATTGCTAGGTTCGTTTGAGCCGCGCGTTCGCATTTGAGCTGTGTTTTTTAACTCATATTAACATCAAAACGTCTTGGCATAAAATGTATCTATTGAACTGTCTGAAAAAAGTCATTCCGAGATAATGGTCACATAATAGTTACATATAACATATATATACACATAATAGATACATTCAACTCACACTATTCCCACAGTTACCGTGACTACGTTTTGTTTCTGTTCGAGAGCGAGTACTACTTGTGGACTCCAAGTACTGGTGTGTACGCAGAGCCACAGTCATGGCCTTATCAGTCAGGTAATATAATTAGAACCTTCTAGTAAGACAGTCAGAACCTTCTAGTAAGACAGTCAGAACCTTCTAGTAAGACAGTCAGAACCTTCTAGTAAGACAGTCAGAACCTTCTAGTAAGACAGTCAGAACCTTCTAGTAAGACAGTCAGAACCTTCTAGTAAGACAGTCAGAACCTTCTAGTAAGACAGTCAGAACCTTCTAGTAAGACAGTCAGAACCTTCTAGTAAGACAGTCAGAACCTTCTAGTAAGACAGTCATAACCTTCTAGTAAGACAGTCAGAACCTTCTAGTAAGACAGTCAGAACCTTCTAGTAAGACAGTCAGAACTCTAGTCATCGTACCTAGTAAGACAGTCAGAACCTTCTAGTAAGACAGTCAGAACCTTCTAGTAAGACAGTCAGAACCTTCTAGTAAGACTGTCAGAACCTTCTAGTAAGACAGTCAGAACCTTCTAGTAAGACAGTCAGAACCTTCTAGTAAGACAGTCAGAACCTTCTAGTAAGACAGTCAGAACCTTCTAGTAAGACAGTCAGAACCTTCTAGTAAGACAGTCAGAACCTTCTAGTAAGACAGTCAGAACCTTCTAGTAAGACAGTCAGAACCTTCTAGTAAGACAGTCAGGACCTTCTAGTAAGACAGTCAGAACCTTCTAGTAAGACAGTCAGAACCTTCTAGTAAGACAGTAAGAACCTTCTAGTAAGACAGTCAGAACCTTCTAGTAAGACAGTCAGAACCTTCTAGTAAGACAGTCAGAACCTTCTAGTAAGACAGTCAGAACCTTCTAGTAAGACAGTCAGGACCTTCTAGTAAGACAGTCAGAACCTTCTAGTAAGACAGTCAGAACCTTCTAGTAAGACAGTCAGAACCTTCTAGTAAGACAGTCAGAACCTTCTAGTAAGACAGTCAGAACCTTCTAGTAAGACAGTCAGAACCTTCTAGTAAGACAGTCAGAACCTTCTAGTAAGACAGTCAGAACCTTCTAGTAAGACAGTCAGAACCTTCTAGTAAGACAGTCAGAACCTTCTAGTAAGACAGTCAGAACCTTCTAGTAAGACAGTCAGAACCTTCTAGTAAGACAGTCAGAACCTTCTAGTAAGACAGTCAGAACCTTCTAGTAAGACAGTCAGAACCTTCTAGTAAGACAGTCAGAACCTTCTAGTAAGACAGTCAGAACCTTCTAGTAAGACAGTCAGAACCTTCTAGTAAGACAGTCAGAACCTTCTAGTAAGACAGTCAGAACCTTCTAGTAAGACAGTCAGAACCTTCTAGTAAGACAGTCAGAACCTTCTAGTAAGACAGTCAGAACCTTCTAGTAAGACAGTCAGAACCTTCTAGTAAGACAGTCAGGACCTTCTAGTAAGACAGTCAGAACCTTCTAGTAAGACAGTCAGAACCTTCTAGTAAGACAGTCAGAACCTTCTAGTAAGACAGTCAGAACCTTCTAGTAAGACAGTCAGAACCTTCTAGTAAGACAGTCAGAACCTTCTAGTAAGACAGTCAGAACCTTCTAGTAAGACAGTCAGAACCTTCTAGTAAGACAGTCAGAACCTTCTAGTAAGACAGTCAGAACCTTCTAGTAAGACAGTCAGAACCTTCTAGTAAGACAGTCAGACCTTCTAGTAAGACAGTCAGAACCTTCTAGTAAGACAGTCAGAACCTTCTAGTAAGACAGTCAGAACCTTCTAGTAAGACAGTCAGAACCTTCTAGTAAGACAGTCAGAACCTTCTAGTAAGACAGTCAGAACCTTCTAGTAAGACAGTCAGAACCTTCTAGTAAGACAGTCAGAACCTTCTAGTAAGACAGTCAGAACCTTCTAGTAAGACAGTCAGAACCTTCTAGTAAGACAGTCAGAACCTTCTAGTAAGACAGTCAGAACCTTCTAGTAAGACAGTCAGAACCTTCTAGTAAGACAGTCAGAACCTTCTAGTAAGACAGTCAGAACCTTCTAGTAAGACAGTCAGAACCTTCTAGTAAGACAGTCAGAACCTTCTAGTAAGACAGTCAGAACCTTCTAGTAAGACAGTCAGAACCTTCTAGTAAGACAGTCAGAACCTTCTAGTAAGACAGTCAGAACCTTCTAGTAAGACAGTCAGAACCTTCTAGTAAGACAGTCAGAACCTTCTAGTAAGACAGTCAGAACCTTCTAGTAAGACAGTCAGAACCTTCTAGTAAGACAGTCAGAACCTTCTAGTAAGACAGTCAGAACCTTCTAGTAAGACAGTCAGAACCTTCTAGTAAGACAGTCAGAACCTTCTAGTAAGACAGTCAGAACCTTCTAGTAAGACAGTCAGAACCTTCTAGTAAGACAGTCAGAACCTTCTAGTAAGACAGAACCTTCTAGTAAGACAGTCAGAACCTTCTAGTAAGACAGTCAGAACCTTCTAGTAAGACAGTCAGAACCTTCTAGTAAGACAGTCAGAACCTTCTAGTAAGACAGTCAGAACCTTCTAGTAAGACAGTCAGAACCTTCTAGTAAGACAGTCAGAACCTTCTAGTAAGACAGTCAGAACCTTCTAGTAAGACAGTCAGAACCTTCTAGTAAGACAGTCAGAACCTTCTAGTAAGACAGTCAGAACCTTCTAGTAAGACAGTCAGAACCTTCTAGTAAGACAGTCAGAACCTTCTAGTAAGACAGTCAGAACCTTCTAGTAAGACAGTCAGAACCTTCTAGTAAGACAGTCAGAACCTTCTAGTAAGACAGTCAGAACCTTCTAGTAAGACAGTCAGAACCTTCTAGTAAGACAGTCAGAACCTTCTAGTAAGACAGTCAGAACCTTCTAGTAAGACAGTCAGAACCTTCTAGTAAGACAGTCAGAACCTTCTAGTAAGACAGTCAGAACCTTCTAGTAAGACAGTCAGAACCTTCTAGTAAGACAGTCAGAACCTTCTAGTAAGACAGTCAGAACCTTCTAGTAAGACAGTCAGAACCTTCTAGTAAGACAGTCAGAACCTTCTAGTAAGACAGTCAGAACCTTCTAGTAAGACAGTCAGAACCTTCTAGTAAGAGAACTAGTAGCAGTCAGAACCTTCTAGTAAGACAGTCAGAACCTTCTAGTAAGACAGTCAGAACCTTCTAGTAAGACAGTCAGAACCTTCTAGTAAGACAGTCAGAACCTTCTAGTAAGACAGTCAGAACCTTCTAGTAAGACAGTCAGAACCTTCTAGTAAGACAGTCAGAACCTTCTAGTAAGACAGTCAGAACCTTCTAGTAAGACAGTCAGAACCTTCTAGTAAGACAGTCAGAACCTTCTAGTAAGACAGTCAGAACCTTCTAGTAAGACAGTCAGAACCTTCTAGTAAGACAGTCAGAACCTTCTAGTAAGACAGTCAGAACCTTCTAGTAAGACAGTCAGAACCTTCTAGTAAGACAGTCAGAACCTTCTAGTAAGACAGTCAGAACCTTCTAGTAAGACAGTCAGAACCTTCTAGTAAGACAGTCAGAACCTTCTAGTAAGACAGTCAGAACCTTCTAGTAAGACAGTCAGAACCTTCTAGTAAGACAGTCAGAACCTTCTAGTAAGACAGTCAGAACCTTCTAGTAAGACAGTCAGAACCTTCTAGTAAGACAGTCAGAACCTTCTAGTAAGACAGTCAGAACCTTCTAGTAAGACAGTCAGAACCTTCTAGTAAGACAGTCAGAACCTTCTAGTAAGACAGTCAGAACCTTCTAGTAAGACAGTCAGAACCTTCTAGTAAGACAGTCAGAACCTTCTAGTAAGACAGTCAGAACCTTCTAGTAAGACAGTCAGAACCTTCTAGTAAGACAGTCAGAACCTTCTAGTAAGACAGTCAGAACCTTCTAGTAAGACAGTCAGAACCTTCTAGTAAGACAGTCAGAACCTTCTAGTAAGACAGTCAGAACCTTCTAGTAAGACAGTCAGAACCTTCTAGTAAGACAGTCAGAACCTTCTAGTAAGACAGTCAGAACCTTCTAGTAAGACAGTCAGAACCTTCTAGTAAGACAGTCAGAACCTTCTAGTAAGACAGTCAGAACCTTCTAGTAAGACAGTCAGAACCTTCTAGTAAGACAGTCAGAACCTTCTAGTAAGACAGTCAGAACCTTCTAGTAAGACAGTCAGAACCTTCTAGTAAGACAGTCAGAACCTTCTAGTAAGACCAGTCAGAACCTTCTAGTAGACAGTCAGAACCTTCTAGTAAGACAGTCAGGAACCTTCTAGTAAGACAGTCAGAACCTTCTAGTAAGACAGTCAGAACCTTCTAGTAAGACAGTCAGAACCTTCTAGTAAGACAGTCAGAACCTTCTAGTAAGACAGTCAGAACCTTCTAGTAAGACAGTCAGAACCTTCTAGTAAGACAGTCAGAACCTTCTAGTAAGACAGTTCAGAACCTTCTAGTAAGACAGTCAGAACCTTCTAGTATCAGTCAAACCTTCTAGTAAGACAGTCAGAACTTCTAGTAAGACAGTCAGAACCTTCTAGTAAGGACAGTCAGAACCTTCTAAGTAAGACAGTCAGAACCTTCTAGTAGACAGTCAGACCTTCTAGTAAGACAGTCAGAACCTTCTAGTAAGACAGTCAGAACCCTTCTAGTAAGACAGTCAGAACCTTCTAGTAAGACAGTCAGAACCTTCTAGTAAGACAGTCAGAACCTTCTAGTAAGACAGTCAGAACCTTCTAGTAAGACAGTCAGACCTTCTAGTAAGACAGTCAGAACCTTCTAGTAAGACTGTCAGAACCTTCTAGTAAGACAGTCAGAACCTTCTAGTAAGACAGTCAGAACCTTCTAGTAGACAGTCAGGACCTTCTAGTAAGACAGTCAGAACCTTCTAGTAAGACAGTCAGAACCTTCTAGTAAGACAGTCAGAACCTTCTAGTAAGACAGTCAGAACCTTCTAGTAAGACAGTCAGAACCTTCTAGTAAGACAGTCAGAACCTTCTAGTAAGACAGTCAGAACCTTCTAGTAAGACAGTCAGAACCTTCTAGTAAGACAGTCAGAACCTTCTAGTAAGACAGTCAGAACCTTCTAGTAAGACAGTCAGAA